GGGCTACTTATGAATATTTAGTAGTAGAATGGCTTATATATAATTATTTAGTAGACAGGGCCTTGTTGTAATTTCTAAATCCTAGAGTGCAATTACAATACTATTGTGGTGCTTATTGTAATTAATTGGATAGGATAGAGTTATGAGATAACTCTATCTATCCAATTGGAGCTAGGATAAGGAAGCCCTCTTGGATCCTCATCTCTAGGCCTATACTTTTTTAACCGATTCTCTCAATCATATATTCTGTGAGATATCGATACAAAATATTGGATCGTATATTATCCAGAAAAAAAAGAGTGAGAGAAAAGGTTAGGGTTCCACAAACCTACATTGGGGTCATAGAAGTGAAGACTCATTGGTGTTCAAGGGAAAAAGAGGAGCAATCAAATTCACTGGTTTTCTCAGAGCGTCGACGATTAATCAATCGTCAAAAAGGTATGAGATCCCTTCACAGTATTTCTTGATTGATAAAAAATCACGTGGATTTGATCCTGAAAATTTTAAATACTTCCGTTGTGCCTTCACAATCATCAATGTCATAATAAGTTGCACAATATCTTATTTCTAATTCTACTATAATAACAAAAATTTATTGACATAATGAGGAGATTCACTGCAAAACATACTATTATTCTATGAAATTTTAGATTTCTTTTGTAATTTAGTTTTTCTTAGTGCTTTCTTTAATACTGTTATTATTATTCTATCATTATGTATTTATTTTTCACTATCATCATTTTTTTTTTTTTTTTTTTTTTTGGTAAGTAAAAAAAGCATGAAAGGTAATATGTAAAGTTTCAACAAAGATATCACTCCACCACTATTATTACATAACAACCCCCATTTTGGCTTGATCACAAACCAATTGCACCCAAGGGCGGAGCCTCCCCTGGGCCCATGCTGGCCCATTAGTTTTAATTACAAATTGACCTATAATTTATAAAAGTTTTCAAAATGCCCCCTCCCCCCAAAATAATTTTTTTCTAGAAAATGGCCATTAATTTTTATTACACATAGGCCAAGAATTTGTAAAAAAGAAAGTGAAAAATGCCTCCTGAAATAATTATTTACCCTTGGGCCAATTTATTTTTATTACAATTAGGCCTATAATTTATAAAATTTTACAAAAGTTCCCACTAAAATAATTATTTTTTAAAAATATCTTTAATTTTTCATTTCTTTTCATTCTTCTTCTTCTTCTTCTTTTTTATATTCTCTTAAAAAAAAATTAAAAAAAAAAGTTACTAAAAGGACTCTTTAGCAACTTTTTTTTTTTTTTTTTTGCAAAGTTTAGTAATTAAATTTGTTGCTAAAAGGACTCTTAAGATCGGTATTTTATGTTTCAATTTTTTTAAAATAATTATTTTTCAAATTTTTAAATGGCATTATTCCACCATTATTACAGTTTTATTTTTTGACTTATTGTCTTGCATCACCATTAACTTGAAAAAAAATATAATTTATCATCTTTAATACGGCGCTCCTCCTAAAACAAAGTCCTGACTCCACCCATGATTGCACGACATAACAGGTTGGAAGATTTCATCATGGGCTATTAGGTTTTAAGGTACCAGTCAATAACTCTTGCATATGAACACAAATGTTTTGAATCATTGAATGAATGTAGAGTTTAAAAAAAAAAAAAAAATGCTTGCGTCTAAAGTCTCATTTAAAATTTAATGATTATTTCTTGTCTCTCTCTAGTGGAGAGGCTAAATGAGGACAACTTCAGCTCTTGAACTTCAGCAATTTCTTTTTCCCACTCAAGAGAATAGGCAATGTCAACTTTAGCATGGTTGCAATCTGACACTTTTTTTTTTTTTTTTTTTGCAAAGAAAATAAATTTTCCAATTAGTGGTGAGACATGACTATTATTAACTGATTTTGTAGAGTACTTCATAATTGTATTACTAATCTAATAAAAGCAAACAATGAAACAAATTTTCAACTATGTTAATAGTTCTTTTTCTCTGATGCAGATAAAACCAAAATTCAACTTCTCAAATATACTTGAGACTTAATATTAGTGTTAAAAAATTAAAATAATATATAGAAGTTCTCAAATAAAAAAATTACAAAAGTATATTTAGTAATTGAAATAGAATATATTAAGATTTGCTTAGTATATACCTAATATTACTTAAATATAAAAATAAGTATTGAGTATAAAAACCTTCGTCTTTAAAATCACTTTTTTCAATCTGGAGACTACTGAATATTTTGGGATTTTTATTGGAGGTCAAGTCAATTGTTTTTAAAATTTGGTAGTTATCTTAATTTAATGATAAGGATGTTATCTCTTTTTTCTTTTCCCATAATTTTTAGAAATAGTTTCAAAAGTTCTACTAGTTTTTGGATTACTTTTGTTTTAGAATTTATTTATTATAAATACATGTAATGTAGAGAGCATAATTTTGGTAGATCAATTCAATTATTAATAATATATCAAATTGCTCTATAATTTTATAAAAAAATTTTAAATTAAATTTTTTTTTTTTTCATTCGTGGACGTTTCATGGCTTCCGCTCCAAGATGTACAAGTCAAAAGGTATTTTACATAGTTATTCAAGCCGAGTTAGTAAAACCATGCCCAAATTCAATTACGCTTCTAAAATTTTTACCATCCCAACCAATCTCATGGTCACAAATACCTTTTCACACTAGTAAAATTTTCTAATAGGCTCGAGCAATAGGTTTGTCTCTCATTTCTGTGACGTGGATATGAATACGTCCCCAGACTTCCCACTGTTCTTAAATCAACACAATCTCTCATTTTTGTGACATGGATACATTTTTGCCACAGAGAGACGACGTGCAGATGATATATACAAGAAATGTTGCAAATGTGGAGTGTGAACAATATCAACTAGACATCAAATAATTTATTGAATGTCACCGGGACAAAGGCAGAATTTTTTTTTAGGGGGACACATTATATTATTGTATATCATAACGTTTATTTACAATATAATGTACCTATATATAAGTCAATGTATATATATATATATATATATATATATAAAGCATATAGTTATATTTTTGGGATGAAATTAATTTACAGATATAAAATATAAAGATTAAGGAAACAATTTTAAAGGAAAAAATAGGAAACATATATATAATTTTACGAAGAATGAGAAAATTCAAAGAAACACTTTTTATATTTTCATAAAAAAAAACTTATATATTATTATAAAATATATATAGAATGTAAGGGAGGGAGAAAATCCAGAGTGGCACGTGCCCTCAGTCCTTCACTCCCTCAATGTCACGTCCATGCATCTACACTGACATTCAATCTTCCAACAAATGACAAAATTGAAAACTTAGAGACCTGTTTAATTTAGTATTGTAAAAGGGATTCAAATTTTCGTTTCGTTGAGAATTTTTATAATTTGATGGAGAAACTTTTTGTATTTTATTAAAATTTGTTTTATATTTCAAGTTTCGAAAAAAAAAAAAGAAAAAGAAGAAGAAGAAGAAGAAGAAGAAGAAGAAGAAACACAACTCTTTTAAGTGAAATAAATACTCTTTTAAGTGAAATAAATACTACATTTCCATGTCTCTAATTTCTAATTATGCACCTCAATTATCCTAATTTCCAGTCCTGCACTTTAAATTACCTTAATTTCCAGCTTTGCACCTTCAATACCGTCTTCATTTCCATTAGCCATAGAATAGTTTGAAGTCCTTATTCAAAGGCAAAAAAGACTCTTTGAAGGTGGTCATTCCAGACTTTCGTACAATCGCCTGATCCCTACAAATTTCTAACTGGATAACCGTTTGGATTTCCACTTTGGAACTACTGCAATTCCTGGCACGCCCATACACCACACTATTATATCCACATTCCACACAATCCGAAAAGCGGAACCAGTGCTTTTTTGCGAGCCGAACAATTATCTTGATGGTTAGAATTTGGCTCCATTGACAAAAGGGGTCTCAGTTTATGAGATCAAATGAAACTTGACCATACTTTTAATGTGTCCTTTGAATCTTTAATATGTTCTTTTAGTCCATAAAATGGATGTGGTGAGATAAAATGAAAGTCACAGTGTAATAAAACGAAATGGACTCATAATAAATATTTTAGATGTAAAGTAAGAAATACTAACCTAGTTTTCATGCTTGGAGAGGATCCTAATCCAGTTTTCGTTAGGTCCATTCTAGTCTCTCTCTTTTACTTTTTTCTTTTTTTTCTTATTTAAGTGGTCATTAGTTTAAATATAAGAAACAAAATAATTAAATTTAAATTATTAGGAATTTTTTTTAAAGATAAGAAAGAAACAAAATTATTAGGAATTTTTTTTTTTATTTGTCTTATCAACAATGGAGGTCATTAGTTTTCTATGTTATTTGCAATTTCTCTCGTGGGAGTTGAACCAATCAAAATTTTCTTAATATTAAATATATATTTTCCTTTTTTGTAATTTTATAAGAAATATACGAATAAATGGTATTGGAAGGGGGCTAATTCCCGATCCATGTGAAGAGGGGGCGATGCTTGGCAATTTATAACTGATTGCATATAGTTTCGATGTGGTCATTCTTGATAGGTTCTTAGCATAACATGATTGCTGCATGGAGTAGCCCTCTATTAGGTATTGATTGAGCCTAGGCATCGAGGAGTGGTTAACCTCTTTACGTCTTTCTGTGTTATCCAAATCATCCAACCAATGCGATTCTTCATTTGAAAATACATCAATCATTTTATTAAAAGGAACAGCAGAGACAATATATTATATTTTATCCCTGAAATGACATAGTTCCACAAAATACATAACCAACTCAAACTTGCTGGCTTAGTACACAAGAAAACACGAAAGCTACTCAAAATCACACAACCGACACAAGTTTGTGATGCCTTAACCCTTTCACCAAGGACTACACAAAGCATCCATTATTATAACTGCATCAAATGCAAGTGCAATTAAATTATTAATGATTAAAAGACTAAGTAAAAGGTGGCTGGTTCAAGATGGGTCTAAATTTTATCATCACTTGTCAAGATACACTCCAATTGCAGTAAGATACTTGTCAGACCTTCCATGGAATCCGATGATCTTGGCACAAGCACTACTAGCAGATGGGAATTGAAATTTCTGTCCATCCTCCACTCCAAATGGTCCAATTGTTCTTTTGTTGCTTTGGAATCCAAGTGACCGAATGACAACCATGTTACCTACTTGTCCAAAGTACCCCCAAACTGAAAGCAAAAATTCATTTGGGTAGTCTAATGTGACCTACATAAGGTTTTTTTGTTCAAAAAGGGTAAGTATGCATGGCATTAATCTTTTGCATAAAATGAAAGCTTAAGTATTAAAATATTCAATAGAAAATAGGAAATTTTTGTTGTTATTATAATGCATTAAATGGCAAATAATAACTAACCTTATTTTCTTGTCCGCCGACGGTACCATGCTTTTCTCCCATTACTCTCTTTCCTTCATTGTCGTAGACAACTTGGAAGCAATCAATTACTGCTCCGGAGTGTATAATCAATTCCCTTACCGTGCTATAGTTTCCGTCATCCCACTGCTCTCCATGAGTAGTTCCAAATGGACCAACTGGTACTACAGTTGGGATTGGCTTCATGTGCACTCCAATCGCATCCAAACGAGCACCCGACCTTCCGAAGAATCCAACAATTTTGCCAGCAGTTGACGGAGTTACAAAACGACTTCCTTCTTGCTTACCATATGGCCCATATTGTTTTATATTGCTGTGAAATGTAAGAGATTTCACAACAAGATACTGTGCATAGGACCCACAAGTGCCAGATATTGAAATGAGGTACTCCTTTGGATAGTCTAATTTCACCTGTTAGATTTTAATTAACAACAATAAACTTAAGTATTTTGACACAAATACCGACAAACATAATAAAAACGACATAAAAAGGTAATATTCATAGTGACAATTGGATAAAAGATTTCACCACGCAAAATAGAAAAGAAAGATTAGAAGTTTTGAAGCCCACAATCTTCTCTCCCAAACTATCTATTTCATCTTGCAGTGTTTTCTCATATATACCACACTACAAACCTGGTTGCAATAGAAACTAGAATCCGGATCCACGATCTACAAGACAAAAATGGGTCAAATTTTTTATTTTTTTTGGAGGCAAATCCAGATAATCGAATCAAAATAAGGTCGTAATAGGACCCGATCTGAAAGAGAATTTGGATCACAAATAATTAAGATGTTAAGATATGTATATATGGTTATATGCTTCGTAATGTGGATTGTGGAGTTTTTAGGGTTTGTACAAGATTTGGTATTTATATAAAATAAACCTTTCTTCAAGTCTACAAACATCCAAGGAAAAAAAAATTTCAGTTTCAAAACCAAATCTCGCGTCTCTTATTCCAACGATTGATACCAATTTTCATCAGTGTGATGTGAAGGTCACTTAAAGATTTGAAACTTGAAATGCTAATATGGTTTAATTATAGATTTGTTTAGATAGTTTTACTTACTGAGTTTAATTTTCTTCTTCTTCTTCTTTAGACAAGTGGCAGGACAAATATAGAATCTAAATAAAATTGTACATATATCAAATTGCATGTATATTACCGAGTGTGGATTTCCGCCGCCACCACCACGCCTTATTTCTGATACTGGCTTTCCTTCAATATCACTGTAGACAACTTGAAAGGATTCAATTTCTGTTCCGGCAGGGGCGACACAGACAATTATTTCCCTTATTGTACTGTAAGACGTTCCGTGATCAAAGTTATTACCAGGTACTTTAGAACCATATGGCCCGAAAGTAACTGCCTTTGCATTCGCCATGGAGTACTAAAAGCTATAAATAAGTTCAGTAATTCAAGTCAGCATGACAAAGTAAATTAGATCAAAAAAGATACATACATATATATATATATATATATCCGTGCACACCCATAAATGCTTTACTCTCGATTCCATTGATTGCCCTAAAGGCATAATCGATTGCCCTTAAGTATTCAATTCACGAATAGAAAGGCATAATTGATTGCTGAGGGATATGGTTCCTAGATTAATGAACGAATAACCAATGGAATCGAGATTAAAGCATTTATGGGTGTGCACGGGTAATTCCTCCATTGGGCTAAAGGCCCTTTTGTAACATCAAAATAATAATAATAATAATAAAATAAATTTGAGCATATACATATATTTAAAATTATAACTTAAATATCATTTGTTAAAGATGAAAAATAAGTTACATACCAAAAAGGAAAGAGATTGGAAAGGCTGTCAGATATTGAAGCAAATTAAAGGAGACAAACAGTGAAAAACTCGGAGAAAGAGATGAAGGCAACAAAATGAACACGAGCTGCTAGCAGGGAAAATAAGGAAGAGTTGTCGTGAAATCATAAGGGAGATGGCATGGGTATATATAGGGCAATGGAATCATAAGCATTTTCCTTTTTCAATTATTTTTTTTTATTATTTTTTTGTTAGAGAAAAGGTCATTAAAAAACAACAACGTGGAGTACATGATCCAAAAGGATTATAATTAGAGCGGAGCTAGCATGAGCCCCCAAAATTTTCCAATTTTCTTTTTTTTTGCCTCCAAAAATATGTTCTTTTTGTAAATCAACCTAACTTTTAGCCCCAGAACTCATATAAAATTTTAATTGGACCCCAAAATTTTTCAAAACACTTATTTGTTAACCCCAATAATTATAACTTGAGTACACTCAAAATTTCAATTTCAACCTTTTCAGCTTACTTTTAAAAACTCAAATCTTGTCAAATAAAAATATATAAATCTTTTTATGGCCCCCCAAATTCATAAAAATTTTAAACCCCCCTCCCCTTCAAAAAAAAAATTAAACACTCATTCTGGCCCCAATAATTATATTATATACTTGCGTCATCACAAAACTCATATAATTTTGACATTTTTTTTTTTTTTTTGCCTAATCTTGAAAGCTTAGATATTGTAAAATAAAAATATAAGTTCATTGTTATTAATTTTTACTATAATATATCATTGTTTTATTTATATTTACATATATACACAATAATAATATCCATTAATATAATTAAATGAACCTTCCTTATTAGTCATGTTCATGGAAAGCAGTAAAATTTAAATAATTATTTAGGTTCATTTTTCTCATTTTTTGAATTGTATTTTTCCTCAATATGTATTATATATAATAAGAATAATATTATAACGAAAATTATACTATAATTAATTTTTAATTTTAATTACATTGTACAGTCTTGTGTGCGTTGAGTTTCGGCCCCTCCACTAAATTCTAGAATCTAGTTTTTATAGTAGATTGTGAATATGTGACTTAAATTATTTTGGGTCTAATACATTATAATCTTGAATTTTGATATAGGTTCACGATTTTCTCTTTCTTTTTTAACATTTGTTTATGTGCTGTTTTTGTACTGTTTGATTCTCCAACATAAGATTGATTTTTGTTTCATCCTTGGATTTTTTTCAGATATATTACTTTGGGGTATCTTGGATTTTCTCAGAAATAGTATTTAACTTTTGCCTTTTATTTTACTTATTAATAACTGATTCATATTAGTTAGCTAGTCATTAAAATTTATTCATTTCTATTTTTGTTATTTTTTTCTTAATCGAACGCAATTTTTTATTTTCTTTCTGTTTGGACACATTTGACTCCCTTTTCAACTACGTTTTTCAGATTCAGTGGTTCAAATCATCCGCGTAGGGCTTGGAATCAACTATGGCCAAATTTCCAACAATCTCCCATCTCACCACTCTGTGATGCTACTATGAAATGTAGTAAGTGCATTTTGTTGGGAAGCAGCTGGGGCTCGCAAACAAGCCATCAAGAAGAAAAATAATAACATAAGAATATAGGATATACATGATTCGAAAAAATCATTTTTACTATGTTTACGGAGCGCACCGAAAAATTTATAACTATCAGCAATAATGATGTGTGTTGACAAGAAGAGCTTTAAACGATCTGCTCTTTCTCTCAATATCAATCTCTCACACCATAAATCTTCTCACTCACTATAGGGTTTGTATAAAACCCAATATTTATAGAAAAACAACTTGCTCCACAAGTCTACAACCTTTTGGAAAGTGAAAACTCAGTTTAGGAAACAAATCCTCCACCTTATTTCTATCGACTCGAAGCCTTGACGCCATTGAAGCTTGCACTTCTTTATGAGATTTAAGTTCCCTCAGCTTTGATGGAACGGAGCCCATCATCGATCAATCGGAACATAGCATCGATTGATCAAAGTATTCAAAGACTTCTAGTGGAGCTTACAAAGCTTTCTGCTATTGATATGAACACTAACTCCGATGGATCAGAGCATTCACAAACTTCAACCGAAGTTACTAAAACTTGTGATTCATGCTCCACAACCTTAACATTAATCTCCCACTTGGAGGCTGGAGAACGAGTAAACTAACTCCATCATACCAGTGCACTTATCTCTGTCTTCAAATTTAAAAATCTACTGAAACTTTGTAATATCCCTATATTTTAAAGGAGTTATTTAATTAAGTATTTTATTTAATTATCTTATTTTATTTAAATTATATTTCATGATTATACTTGCTAATTTGGTATGATGTTTTGCTTTATGGGAATGCCATGATTGGGTTATTTATTTGACTACATGCGTATTTATGTTTGTGTTATTTAATTGTGAATTATTAATTTGTAATTAATAGATTTGATTTAATTATTTATTTATTTAAAAGTTTAAGTGATTGGGTTTAAGGAAGTTGGACCAATGGATGAAGTCTTAGGCTTGGACGAAACCTTGATGGGTTAAATAATTAGGGCCCATAGTTGTAAATGTTTATATGTGTATATATGTATAATTTTATATATATATATATATATATATATATATATATATATATATAATTAATTACTTGGATGGATATCTCTATATATGCATATTTTAAGATATAAAAGTATATATATATTCTTAAGTATATTATGTATATAATTATATTGGGTAGTTAGACTAGTTTTTTGAATACTCCCAATTTTTAGTAATTGAGACCAGCAATATTTGTCATGCACAAATAAAATTTGAATAAGCCTAATTTTATTGGTTATGTTTATTTTTGAGGAGGAAGGGATTTCATGTGTCGGATGATTAGGCTATGTTGGGAGTAAGAGTTTTGTGCAATATTCGAATCCTTTAAGCTTTCTAGAAAACTTATGTAGTAAGTTTGGGGTAAATAACTCACAAACTGAGCCGTTTTAGGGTATTAGGTGTTCAAATATTCAATATTTTTATATTAAAAAGGTCTAGTGACTTAAAAGGTACCTTGATTGAGGTATTTTCTTTCAAAGATTCAATCTTTACTTATTAAAACACTCTTCGTGACGTCAAAGGAAACTCAAATAAGATTAGGATTAGGGTATATATATATATATATATATATACATAATGTATTATTGTTATAAAAAGGTTTTCAGGTTAGAAAATATAAAGGAGGCAGCCAAAGAGAGGAGAGAGAAGAAGAAGAAATAAGAGAAAGAGAAGAAGGACGACCAAGAGAAGGCCGGATCAGAGAGAGGACGATGCCTGCGACAAGGAGGCTGCGGAAATTGATTGAGACGACCAAGGCTTAAAACGTCAGTTTCGTTTCAAAACCTTCAAGCAAGTTCTTCTCTACTTCTCCTTTTAGAAAATACGTTTTACATCTTGGGTATCAAGATCTTAGATTAAATTGCATGCTAAATCACCTAAACATAGGATTAAAAGTATGGATTAAACTAATGTGTATTTATTGATATATAAATATATATATATGTATATATGTGGATGAAGAGCATGGTTTCTTTAAATCCGTTTTTGATGTTTCTACTTATTGATTTTTACATATATGGATGTATGTAAGAATCATCTTAGAATTTATTTAGGGTTGTTAGTACGCAATTCGGGGGGCGAAACGATGGATTTACAGACGTAGAACAGATCTGCAAAATTGCTGCCGCGACTTTTTGCTCGAGCAGAACACTATTTCGACGCACAGTGCTCGAGCACTAGGAGTTATGCTCGAGCATAGGGCTGTGCTTGAGCACAGGTGGTTTGTGTTCTAGCTCTTGGACCTGTTTACTTCAAAAGTATTTTGAATAACCCTGGTTTGAGTAATAATGATCCCAAACATGTTTATAAGTGTTGGGAAGAGTATCATGGGTATAAAATGTGTAAATTCTATTAGACACTGGTGTTATTATAGTTGATGAGAATGATTAATATTGATTAATAAGTTTTTTAAATTAATCTGTTAAGATATTAAATTGTGTAATTCAATGCGTAATCCGATTTATGATTATAATCATATTTACTGGTGTATTTATAATCTGTAAACCTGATCTATGATGGTATTTGCATAATGTACCATGGTTATATATATGATAACGATGAATTGGTACGTGTGCATGTTTATTATGAGTGTAAAGATTTATTCATGCATATACAAAGCATATATTGTCTATTATATGGATGTTGTGTATTTAATTATCATGTTTAAGGTGATTTATTCGAAGCCATGGACAAGTTGACATGGCATAAACAGATTTCCATTGATTTATGTGAACAAAGCACATACATTAACAGTATGAAAAATTTGTTATTCTATAGTGTTACCCAAGAATTGACTCTAGAGGGGGGGGTGAATAGAGTCAATGGCCAATTTTCGCAAATTATAGAAATACAATTTCTAATCAACAATATAACCAATTGTGCAATAATCAACATATGAAATCAAGATATAAAAGTAAACAATTTATAACGCAATTGTAAAAGAGATAAGAGAAGAAAAATTGCAAACTATAACA